GAAAAATTAGGATGAATGCAATGTCCTATCTGGAAAATTTTCCATTTCCTTTTGCCCTTAATGTTGTCCACAGAGCCTCTAACTGGCTGATCAACCCCTTCTCCATGAATGTAATCTGGGTTCCTGCCTGTTTTTGGAGAAGCTGCTCTGCCTTAGCAGATAGTCATTACTTCTCCGATGGCTTCCCCATGATTTCCGACCCTCCCCACCTTACAATGTGTGATGTGGCCACTGCAAGCTCAGTCTGTTGGGTGTCTACCCTTGGGTCGGGGAAGTAAACAAGGTGCTGTTTCCAGGGGGACAGCAAGAAGATGGAGGATGCCAGCGCCTGCCTGACTCTGCCTTCATATCGGCACCACATGGAAAACAAGGGGGCCACTCTGAGTCGAAGCTCCAGCAGTGTTGGGGGGCTCTCCGTCAGCTCCCGGGATGTGTTTTCCATTTCCACCCTAGTGTGCTCCACAAAGCTCACCCAGAACGGTAGGTGTGTGTGTGTGAGTGTGGGTGCGTGCGTGCATGTGCGTGTGCGCATGCATATAAGTGTGCCTGTGTGTGTGTGCCTGTGTGTGTGTGCATGCACTTGTGCATGTGTGTGCCTGTGTGCATGCCTGTGCGTGTGTGCGTGCATATGTGCATGTGTGTACCTGTGCCTGTGCCATGCATGTGTATGTGTGCACAAACCCAGTGATGGTAACTGTACCTGTCTGCACTCTGTCCTAGTGGGCTTGCTGGGTTTGCTGAAGTGGCGAATGAAGCCTCAACTACTGCAGGAGAATTTAGAGAAATTGAAGATTGTGGATGGAGAGGAGGTGGTGAAGGTCGGTATTCATCCACTAGTAACAGAGCTGGGAATCGCAAGTGGCTTTGGGGGGCAGGGGGAGGAAAGTGTTGAAGGGGATGGGACAGCTTTTTCTCGTTACTGGGAAATCTGGGGATGATTTGGTCCAATGACACTGAATGTGAAGTTGCAGAAAAGTATCTTTGTGCTCAGTTTCTGGAAAATGATCAGTATGGGTGTAGATCCCAGCTCACCTGCTTGCCAACTCCATGTGATAATAGTATGAATAGGACATATTTCTCAGGGTTGTTGTGAGCATTCAAGGTGATGATATTTAAAAATTACTCAGCACAGTCTCTCACACAGAGTACCCAATAATTGAACGAAAACACACGACATATACAAAGTTCATTAAAAGGTAACTATTAATTTTGTTGTCATAAAGTACTGTAGCAGTATGATCTCTTAGTGCTACCTACACATTATTGTCAGAAATAACACAGTACTGTTGGTTTCCACAGCTTGAGGGCATTATGCTTTAAACACGAGAATGGGAAGGACACCAGGGCTCACATTTTAAGTGAAACAAGCAGAAAAAATGCAAATGCCAGCTGTATTGTCATGTCCACCTGGTGGTGGAGAATACAGCGTCTGAAGTTCAGGTCTAATTAAAGCCACCCTCATCTCTGGCACCATGACTTGGGGCGAGTGTTTCCTGGAGGTCCCAGTGAGGGTAATCTTGTTTCCACCAGGAACTTGGTGCAGCTAGAAGCTCCGAGATTCAGCATCTTTATACGGTCGCTCTGTGTTTTGAGGACTCTAGGAAATACTGACCCGCCCCTTAGGAGGGAGGGGTAACACACGTTAGTTAATTTCCCATGCATGCAGAAACATGGTTGAATGTCCAGATCAGTTCTTTAAATGGTTGGTATCGACCTGCCTACCTGGTTCACCGACGGCAGAGAGGTTCCCAAAACAGCCTTTCATAGGGTCTGTCACTTTTGAGCAGCTTAGAGAAGACATCTGGGAGTGAATTCCACTGTCTCCTTTTTGCATTATTTTTTAAAGTTTTTTTTAATTGAATTATAATGCATAAACAATAAAATATGTACAGAGCACTTATTCTAAAAGTACAATTCAACGTATAGGGTGGGGCAAAAGAAAGTTTACAGTTGTGAGTATGCAAAACACACAGTTTATTCTTGTACTATTATTTATTAATTAGTATATTATCTTCTATAAAACAACTGTAAACCTACTTTTGCCCTTCCATGCATTATTATACATGTACATTCCCATGTACCCACTACCTAGATGAGATACAGAACATTTTAGCATTGTGGTAGGTTCCCTCATACCCATCTCAGTCAGTACCCACTCGGGGAGCTGACTGCCATCACCATTGATGGGCTTTTGTCTATTCTTGAATTTCATAAAAATAGAGTAATACAGAATGTACATGTTTGTGTCTGACTTATCTCACTGCACACAATGCTCAGGAGAAGTAGTTGGCTCTTTTTTTATCACTGTGCTTTTATTTATTTCTGCAGTGTGAAAATGCCACCCTTTATTCATCCACGGTGCTTCTGTTGGTGGACAGGTGGGGTGCTCCGAGTCCTGGTTCATGTGAACTTGGACCCCTTGACCATGGCGCATGGTGGATGTGTGCTCTCAGTCTCTGTGGTCTACACTGAGAAGTGGATTTCTGAGTCACCTACACTCTTTCTTAATGCGCCCTTCATTATTTTGTCCAGTTTCTCCAAGATACTCTGGATGCCCTCTTCAACATCATGATGGAGCATTCTCAGAGTAACGAGTATGACATCCTCGTCTTTGATGCTTTGGTAAGGGAGAGGATGGGTTTGTGGCATAGACATCAATGTGTGTCTCACTGAGAGAATCCTGAGAACATATAGCTCTTGTGGCCCTTTTCATGACTCTTTTGGAGGAATTGTCACGTTAGGCAACCAGGCCAATGAATGAGCTGCTGTTCCCTTTCATTAGCTTGGAGTGGATGCCTGGGCAGAATGCGTGAAAGGGGAATCTTCAATGTTGATGTCAGAGTGGCACTGGGTGAAAGTACATGAAGCTGGATACCATGAGTAACCGAGTTGGCTTTCCATGAATGCAGGGAGCTGGTCTCTGGTCAGGTTGTGAAGGACCCACAGTGTATCTTAACTATCCTTTCCCTTCTTTTTCTTCATAGTCTCCAACTCACCAGAGCACTACGCTCACTCTTTCTACCCAGAACCTTTCATGGGGGTATGCCATCCAGATCTTTCTCCTTTCCCTCTTTCCAAATGGTCTCTTCCTTCTCTTGCTGTCCTAATTCACGTTCCTCAGTGTCATGTCAAAATAAACATAAGAAACATTTGAATTAGGGGATATCAGTGACCAGCAGAGTGTTAATGTGTTAATCCCTTATGTCAGTGACATTTATGTTTATGAAGAGGTTGCTTGGAGACAACTGTGACTTAGAGCTTCCCAAGAGGGCCTGGAAAGCTAGCTCGAAGGAAAGATGTTCTCTGACAAAAAGATCCTTTGTTCAACCACTTAGGGAAGTGCTGAACATTGCATGGCCCTCTCGGAGAGTCATGATGCACATAGATATATTAAAGACTCTGATAAGTCCTGCAATAAAGAAGGCAATCTAAGGATGACAACCTGAGATTTCCCAAACTTATCTCACCAAGAAACCTTTGTATCTTATGCTCTGTAGCACACTGCATGAAACACTTTTTAGGAGAGATACCACCTTAATGAAAAGGACTAAAGATATATTAGCGAGCTAATTCCTGGGTAAAAATTTTTGCTAGGGGTTCGGTTATGCCATGTGACTATGGCTTCCTGCCCTAGGTCTGTCCTGAAAACACTGATTCTTTGTCTTTGCCTTAGATCTACATAATTGGACTCATTGCTGACCGGAAATTCCAGCATTTCAACACCGTTCTGGAGGCTTACATTCAACAGCATTTCAGTGCTACCTTGGCTTATAAGTAAGTGACTGTGTGCCTCCTGCTTTCCCTGCCAGGATGCCTAAGGCACAAGGAACTTGAGTATTTTCCTTTTATCACTAGTCTGTGTGAGTTCTCCCTTTTTTGAGAAAATCCAATTTGTGCCTCAGTTATTTGGATTAAATAAAAATATGCAAACCCATTGGTTGAGGTGAATACAGTGGCAGAAGTACATGGAAGTCTTCCTTCCTTTCATTTCCTTTCCTTTCCTTTCCCTCCCTCCCTCCCTCCCTCCCTCCCTCCATTAACTATCAGCAGCTACTTGCCATAAACATTGGGATTCAAAGGCTACAGAGGAGAAAGGCACATGCTCAGTAGATCACTATAGTTTGGGTATAGACAACTGAGGGTCACAGAAGGGAGATGATGCTGGGAGGTTGGTGGAAGCCAGTTTGTGTAGGGGCCTTGGAAGGAGATCAAGTAGTTTGAAGTCTGCCTTGCCGGAAATGAGGAAACATGGAAAGTTTCTAATCAAGGGAGTTCCATGGTATAACAAGAACATTTTCAGCAGGAAGAAAAAGCCGAAAAAGACATTATCACCACCATTATTCCCAATCATATTCTAATTGTGACTAGTTTTTCTAGTCAAAAGATTTTCCTTCCTCACTAGTTTTTTTTTTCTTTGCTGGCTTTTTAGAGGCAGGAAATAATTATTCACTCTCTGTATTAAATATAATTTTAAGCAGAGTTATTTTTATGGTTGTAAATGAGTAAGCTTGGCTGTACCACCACCTTTAACCTTTGATTGAAAGCCTTATAATTTACTGAGCAAAGGAATTACCATGCCGTGGGTTGGGAAGCAACGTATTTTGAAAATATAATCTCTTACTCAGGAAACTGATGACGGTGCTGAAGACTTACTTGGATACCTCCAGCAGAGGGGAGCAATGCGAGCCGATCCTCAGAACCCTCAAAGCTTTGGAATACGTGTTCAAGTTCATCGTTCGGTCGAGGACATTGTTTTCTCAGTGAGTACTTGCTCTGTGAGGGTGATTGATTGGCTTTGCAATTCCTCTGGGGTACAACATTGTGCACGGGAGACACTCTCTTACAAAATGACCACCAGCCTCCCATCAAATACAAATCAAAAACCCAACACAGAGAGTTAGGAATAGGTAATAATTGTTCCTTGTAAGTTTATTTGGGAATAAAAGAAATCTTAGCATGTTGTAGAGTCATGCTCCATCCAATGAACACAATTGGTGATTTGAGGCTCTTCAGCGCTTCATATGATCAGGTTGGTTGTGTGTGATGGGATACAAGAGGAAAACATACTGGGAATGTATTGTCCAGATTCTTAACAGTTCAAATGAAGAACACTCAACTCAAACTGACTTATGGAGAAATAGGACTTTATTATATTTTACATTATTGAAAATGCCAGCTTCAGGCATGGCTGGATCCAGATGCTTACTGTCATTGGGGTAGTCTCTATCTCTCGAGATTTTGGCTCTGCTTTCCTTTGGCTGATTGCTTTCTAAGGCAAGTTTTCCAAAGTTGAAGCTATTTGAAATCTCAAGTTCATGTATTGGCTTAAGCAATTCTAGGTTCCTTGTTGTTTCAGCAAAATCCTATGCTAAGAACTGTGATGGGTCATGTGCTAAGGTCTTAAACCATGTGACCAGGGGAATGAATATGCAGATTGTGTAGTGGTGGTCACATATGCATCTCTGGAGCCTTGAGGTGGTCAGCCATGTCTGGTGTGCACTTGTTTAGTTGGACAAAAGAAAGCAGAAGTCTGTAATCATCATTTGATCATGATGATGGATGGGCCATGATGCCATCATACTCGACGAGGCATCTGAAATGGGTAATCATTTGGGATTCTCAAAACATTTTTTGAGATTTCAGTTAATAAATAGAAAGAGATGAGTGTTTTGCACCATGTCACAAAACATAAGTATCTGTTTCAATTCCTCTAGCTTGTCAGTGTGTCAAGGCAGAGACTGTGCATTAATTAAAATCTTAGGGGTATTCTTGCAAGTTGGAGGGATACTTGTAAATTATTTGAAATCCAAATAGAAGACAACTGTGGGTCTTTCAAAGGGTTGAGTTTCTTGGAGGAGTTCAAAGATGCAAACATTGTACTTCTAGATGAACAGGCAAGGATATCTTATTTCATCTTGCAGGTGAGATCTTCAGATCTACAAGAACAAATTCTTTTCATTTATCATATCTTCTGCCCAATTTTTCCTTTTAGTTTATTTGTTTTATTGTCCTTCTTTTCCTACCTCCTCCCTTCGTCTTCTCCCTCTTAGTTTTTGTCTCTTCCCTCCATAAGCATTTCTACCTTTGCTTTCTTCTCTGCCTCAAGGCGTGTCATCTTGCAGGGCACCTAGCTCTTCACTTAGAGTAAATTCAGTGCTGCTGGAACCGAAGTGACTTTTGGCTTCTTCAGGCGTGGGTGATCCGTTAGCCCTCACTGTATCCCCAGCATAGCATACAAAACACCATTGACAGTCAGAACTGCCTGCCGGATGAAGTCCATTTGGGGGACTACAAGAAGGAATTTGGTGAGAAGAGATGTCTCTAAGGTAACCGAGGCATAATCTTGGATCCATTTTCATGAACATATATGTAGGCAGATCTGCAGGGAGGGTCTAGGACAGCAGTTCTCAACCTGTGGGTCACGACCCCTTTGGGGGTAGCCTAAGACCATCGGAAAACACATATGTAATTACATATTGTTTTTGTGATTAATCACTATGCTTTAATTATGTTCAATTTGTAACAATGAAAATACATCCTGCATATCAGGTATTTACATGACGATTCATAACAGTAGCAAAATTACAGTTATGAAGTAGCAACGAAAATAATTTTATGGTTGGGGGTCACCACAACATGAGGAACTGTATTAAAGGGTCGTGGCATTCAGAAGGTTGAGAACCACTGGTCTAGGACCTCATGCTGAGGGAAAGTAGATTCCCTGTGTCTTGTTCATTTTCGAATCTTTAGCAGTGGTTTGCCCTCCAGTGGATTCTGAGGACATTGGGAAGTAGTGGGGGGATTTTCCCTATATTCAGAGAGCATTTCATTTAGGAAACTGGAAAGGAGAAGGTTCAACACGTTGCGATTTATTAGCCAGCTGGTGGAAAAATGTAACAGTGATCGCTTTGGGGGCTTATTGTGTCTGGTATTGTGTTTGTTTCCTGCCATTCCTTTGTTCTATTTCCTCATGTGCATAACTGCAGCGGGTCCAGCTCCCATTGGCTGTTCCCTGGCCATCTGTCTTTGCACACACCGCACATGAGCATGCAAGGGCTGGTGGTTTTCCTGGGTCTGTTTCCAGGGTGCAGTTGGGTAAGGGAAGAAGAGAAGATGGTGACAAGAATGGGAACTTTTTGGGGATTATTCATTTCTATCACAGCCAAAGGAAGCGATTTTCCTGGCCCTTCTTCTTGGGTCAGTAGCTGCTGAGTCCCAGTCCAGGACAGGTGTCTTGGGGCACATACCTGTGCCGTAGCTGCAACGGAGGCTGGCAGAGCCATTTGAGCTTCTGCCAAAGGGAGGCCAGCTTACAAATATGGGAAATTCCTAAATTGTAGGAACGTGTGCCAAAGATGTTGGGTGGCCATCAATCGGACCAATATCTACTAAGCTTTTCTGGAATGACTGAGCCCCTGGGCGATATGGCGCAGAGCGAGGAACACTCAGAAAGAGCTGAAATGATTATCTTCTAGGCATTGAGCTTCTGTACAAAACTCCTTGCAGTGCCTTTTATCCTAAAGCTCAGGCAGCCAGCTGAGCTGATCCCCAGGGTTTCTGAGCCGTGGAATCACTCAGAGTCAATAGCAGCCTGTGTGTCCCTGATCCGCATTGTGGGCACTGGCTAGCAGTCTCTGCTGCTGGCATGTAGCAATGAGACCGCAGTGCCATGGGCTATGGGACAGGAGGCAGTGTGGGGTGATGATTAGTGTTGAATAGTTGGCTCAGTGATGGTTAGTGTTCACATTGGACAGGCCTTGGATCACATTTCTTTTTTTTTTTTTAAATATATATTTTATTGATTTTTTACAGAGAGGAAGGGAAAGGGATAGAGAGTTAGAAACATCGATGAGAGAGAAGCATCAACCAGCTGCCTCCTGCACACCCCCTACAGGGGATGTGCCCGCAACCAAGGTACATGCCCTTGACCGGAATCGAACCTGGGACCCCTCAGTCCCCAGGCCAACGCTCTATCCACTGAGCCAAACCGGCTAGGGCGGGATCACATTTCTATCCCTCTAAGTGCCTGGCTTACAAACCCAGCCTCTCTGAGCCTGTTTCCTCATCCATAAATGGGGATCAACGGGCTCTTAGTGTTTTGATGATGAAATGAGATTCATGTACAAAACTTCTCCATGTAGTATCTGGTGCTTATTCCACAGGCATAATAAATGTCTTCACCCAGGAGAGAGACAGGGTGCTGGTTTCAGAGTTTCAGATTTAAATCAGTAAGAGGGAGGTCTGTTTCTTGATTCATTCTCCAGATTTGGCCTACCGACCATGCTATCCTACACATTTCTTGCTGTTCATTTCTTAAGGGGAGGGGATACCTTTACCAGGTGTCTGTGCTCTTTGAGGTCCACAATGAAGGGGCTTTTACAGCCCCATGAACTCACCTTGGTCTGCTGCTGGCACATTGGGTGGGCCCTGCTTATGTCTGCTGCTTCCACTTCTGTGTGTGTGCGTGCGTGTGTGTGTGTGTGTGTGCGCGCGCGCACGCGCACACACTCAGGCCCCTGTGGCCCAAGCCACCCAGCTCTCTGTCCCTGGCTTGCTCTGCTGTCCTTTGCATCATGCCTTCTGCTCTGTTGCAGACCTGCTTATGCAGTTCCAGCGCCCTCCTCCTTCTCCATGTAATCCCAGCCTCCTGGGCTGCTCTGCCATCCACAAACGCCATCTCCACCCCTGTGCTGATGAGAGGCAGTCAGCTCAGTGGTTAAAGGCACAGTCTCCAGAGCTAGGCTCCCTGGATTTGAGTTCTACATTTGAATTTCAGCACCACTACTTACTAGCATTTGTGACCTTGGGCAAATTATTTCATCTGCCCAGAGCTCAGTTTTCTCATATGTAAAAGAGGCCTGTAAAAACCCTTGCAGGGCTGGTGTGCAGACTAATGAGCTAATGTAGCAGGCACTTAGCACAGTGCCTGTCAAACAGCAGGTGCCCACGATTATTATTATTGCCAAGTGCATTTCACTCATTGGCTCCATCAGTCTTCACAAAAGTCCCATGGAGAATCTCATGTCCTGACTTCATCTCCTCCTACTCCCCGCTCACTCCGTGCCAGCCTCACACGCCTTCCCTGCTGTGGCTCAGACTCCTGACTCGGGCCTTTGCACCCTTCCCCAGATATCTGCTCGCTCACGCCCTGGCCTCTTTCTCATCTTTGCTCCCATGTCTCCTCAGGACCCTATTTACAATGCAAACCCTGCCCAGCACTCCCGTTGCCCTGCCCCCCTGCTTTCTGTCTTACTTCTCCTCCCCACAGAACCAATCACACGTGAACATGCTCTATACAATTAGTTATGCTTTTGTTTCTGCTCTCTCTCTGTTAGAGTGTCAGCTTTGTTTCCTACTGTATCCCACGCACTGAGAACAGCGCCCGGCACATGGCTGGCATTCATTCCACGTGAAATGGGTCAGTACCTCTTCCCTTTCATAGATCAGGGAATGGGGGCTTAGATTCAAGCTCAGAGGTCACACAGCTAAGCATCAGCAGAACCAGGCTCCATAATTGCACCTCATCTGATGAAGCCAACTTAAGAACCGAACCTTTTCCGGGCCATGCCCAGTGAAATGTGGGTGGGTTGGGGAGGGGCTGTCCCGAGACAGAGCCGCACTGCCCAGGAGTGTGGGCTTCCTGGATGCTGGCAGGGCTGCTGAGAGGCACAAGGCTGCTCCGGCTCAGGTGTGGTCATCCCCAAGCACAGAGGGTTTCAATAAAGAAAGCGATGATTAGGAGGAGTTTCAGGAAAGGCGT